AAAAAGAAAAAAGCCGGAAGTGGCGCTGTGGCTCAAGTGGTAGAGCGCTAGCCTTGAGCTGAAGAGCTGAGGGACAGCGCCCAGCCCAGAGTTCAGGCCCCACGACCGGACCCCCCCAAAAAAAACACAAAAAACAAAGCAGTTTTGAGCTCACACAACCCTAGCTACTCAGGAAGCTAAGATCTGGAAGATCGCCGTTCAAAGCCAGCCTGGACAGAAAAGCCTAAGACACTTCATCTGCAGCACACCAGGCAAAAGCAGAACTACATTTATGGCTCAAGTAGAAGAGCTCCAGTCATAAGCAAGCAAGCTGAAGGACAAGGTCCTGAGTTCATGCCTTAGTACTCATCAAAGAGCTTAGGGTCCTCTAGGAGCCCCAGGGGCTCCCGGCTTTCCCACTGTAGGACAGAGGGGCAGACACTCAGGATTATTATACAATTCTGTATTTAGTGACTTGTGTACAGAATGTATTTCTTTTAAAATTTTAAACAAAGTTCATCAATCTCTCATAGAAAGCTTGGTGTGTGTGTGTGTGTGGTGTGTGTGTTCTTTTACCGTTGCAGGGGATGAAGGAGGAAGTTGTTCCTGGGTCTTGAGGCTTTAAGTGCAGTAGCAGGATTCCGTTCTGGGTTCCAAAGACGAGACGAAGTGCTGGTCAAATCCCGCTGCTCTAAAGCCACAGGGACGGCTCCAAGTTCGAGTCTGGTAGAGGTGTGGATTCCTGCACTCTCCCTTGGGTGTCTCCTGGCAAGAGGGTAGTGGTGGCCGAAAGATGTTCCATTTGTTCCAGATCGGAGGAGGATGCGTGAGGTCTGGTCACTGTTCCCTGCTGTTGGAATATAAAAATACCTTCATCTGGATAAAAATGCGTGCAGCGCAAACTTGGATGTGCAGCCTGGTGCGCAGAGGCAGAGTTCGGTGTAGACAGCAGCCTGGGCCTGGTGCACAAGTTGGTGTTTCTGGAATGTTCCTCATCTGTCTCTCTCTGCTAGCCAAGTTTTGCCTGTGTGGTTTGGAAGTGTCCCCTGCGTGGTCAGTCGTCCCGAGCTGCCGCTGGCTGGGCAGCAGTGATAGCCGCATGTCACCCAGCCATCTTCCCACAGAGCTGTGTGTGCGCCAGTCCTGGGACTTGAACCCAGGTCCTGGCTGCTGTCCCTGAGCTTTTTCCACTCAAGGCTGGTGCTCTACTACTTGAGCCATAGCTCCACTTCCGGCTTTCTGCTGGTTAATTGGAGATTAGAATCACATGGACTTTCCTGGGGCTGGCTTTGAACTGTGATCCTTAGATCTCAACCTCCTGAGTAGCTGGGACTACAGGTGTGAGCCACTGGTGCCTGGCTCTCCACAGAATTTTGATGAGAGAGAGAGAGAGAGAGAGAGAGAGAGAGTCATCAACCAATATGGTGGCTGTGCCTTCACCCCTCAGACCTGTGTGGGACACATGGGAAGAAGCTCCCCCAGGGCCCGAGGCTGAGGCCTGCCCCCCCCCCGGGGCTCTTGGGGCTTGGGAGCTGCAAGAAGATCTAAGGGGATGAGGGTCTGGCCTCTAGAATTTGAAGTTTGGTGCTGGGTGCTAACCCTCACTGGAACCTTCTAGAAACACAAGGAGCAAAAGGGATGGCCGGGATTCTCTGGGATGCCCCGGCTTGTATGTACCAGTAGACAAACTTGCCAGTGCAGCTATAGCCGGGCTGGGAGGTGGAGCTGCTCAGGCTCAGGTCGCACACTCGGCCCCGGTCCAGCGTCATGGGCTGGACACGCACCGTGCACTCCTGGTGGCCGCAGCCCGGGCGCCAGCACTGTGAGCAGCAGTTTGTCTTGCACCATTCCCGCTCGGAACGGCCCCATCTCTACTTGCTGCACCAGGACGGCACATCCTGTCATGAAGATTGTAGACACCAGCACGGGACGCGCCCTCAGTGGCGCAAAGGTTTGGTTTAGAGTATTTTGGACTTTCTCTCTTCCGGCAAGGCTTTCTGGAACAGCAGGAACGACGCTGGGTCTCACAGACACGTGTGGTCACCCAGAACCCGTGACTCAAAGGTGATGGACATGTGCTGAGTCTGTGTTTGGTGATGGCTTTGAACAATTGTCTTTCCTTAATCTCATCTAGTGGCAAAACAAAAACCAAAAAAAGACACAGCTTCAGTGTGCGCTTTTCCCACCGTTGTGACACCGTCCTGATGCCTAATTCTCTGTGATATCAAAACAGCATTGGCTGGGAATAAAGCCCAAAGGATCCTTTATTAAAATAGCTAAAAGAGGTCTATAAATATCTGTTTTTCGGAAAGAGTCTGGAGTTCTCCGGTGAGCATGTGGTGGGTGGGTCCTGCCTCCCAAGTGGGGCTCAGGGCGGGGGTGGGGGGTCCTCAGCCCTCCCAGGGGGCCACTGCCCCCCCTGCCCCGGCGATCGCTCCCCATCATCCGACGAGAGGATGGCAACAGAAAACTCAGAGGGAGCAGGGTGGCCTTGGCATCTGGAGGTCGGAGGGCAGAGGGCAGAGGCCGCCCGCGCCCAGGCCAGGCTCAGAACTCCCACTCCAGGGCCTCGTCGCGGTTGGCGGCCTTCTCCAGCCGGTAGATGATGCTGTTCAAGTTGGCCATCTTCTCGTGCCGCCGCTGCAAGTTGGGGTTCACCTTGGCACTGGCCG